GGATTTTATTTTGGTTTCTTTTTTTAATATTTATTTTTTAGATTTATTAGCTTTTTGGGTCACACCCGGCAATGCACAGGGGTTCCTCCTGGCTCTGCACTCAGGAATTACCCCTGGCAGTGCTCAGAGGACCATATGGGATGCTGGGAATCGAACCTGGGTCGGCCCGGGTTTGCAGGGCAAACGCCCTACCCGCTGTGCTATTGCTCCAGCCCCCTTATGTTGGCTTCCGTGCCACACCCGACTTGCTGGTCAGTGGGAACGCCTGGTGGTGCTTGAGGGACTGTGTGGTGTCACGGATCCCACCAGAACTCTCGAATGCAAGCCAAGCATCCAGCTCTCTGAGCTATCTCACTCCCTCTGGCCCGTAAGAAACCAAAATTTCTTTCAGAGGACACCAGTCCCACCTGGGGGTGCTCAGGATGCAGCCCAGGGTGTCCACACACGCGGAGCCGGTGCTCCTGGCCTTTTGAGCCATCTTCTTCGCCCCAAAGGAACGTCAGAGGTGGAAGCCCTCCCCAAGGAGTGGCCATGACCGCTAAGCACGATCGGTCACTGGAAGCACTTCAGTTCAGGAGAGAGCTGAGGTAAAACCCAGAGGATCATCACACTTTGCATAATGAAAATGATGAACGAATTATTAGGACATGCGATTAGGGGATGAGATAAAAGAACCAGTTGAGGGGTTGGAGACGGCTGCAAGGGCGGGCGCCCAAGGCTTCGACCCCAGCAACGGAGCCAGGAGCTGTGCCACCCCCCAGCACTGACGTGGCGTGGCCCTGAAATTTTATTTTTATATTTTGTTTTGGGGCCATACCCAGCAGTGCTCCGGGCTCACATCTGGTTTACTCCTGGCAGGGCTCAAGGAACAGATGGGAATGAATCAGGGTTGGCTCTCCAGAGCAATAATAGAGGGCACCATTTTTGGTGTGGGCCAGTATGTATTGAGGTGATGAAAAGAAGGAGATTAAAAGCTAGGAATTGGTTCAGGTAGGTAACTCAGAAGACTGGCGCACATACTTAGCAGGAGACCTGGGTTCAGGGCCCTGCAATGCACGGTCCTCTGAGCACCACCAAGTCTGGCCCCCAAAGACTCAGCACAGCGGTAGGGCGTTCACCTTGCACGCAGCCAATATGGCCGACCCGAGTTCGATTCCTCCGCCCCTCTCAGAGAGCCCGGCAAGCTACCGAGAGGATCTCGCCCGCACGGCAGGGCCTGGCAAGCTCCCCGTGACCTATTCGATATGCCAGACACAGTAACAACAAAAGTCTCCAATGGAGACGTTACTGGGCCCGCTCGAGCAACAGGAAATAAAAAATAAAAATTACCATTGATTTTTATTTATTTATTTATTTTTGCTTTTTGTGTCACACCCGGCGTTGCCCAGGGATTACTCCTGGCTCATACACTCAGGAATTATTCGTGGCGGTGCTCGAGGGACCATATGGGATGCTGGGAATCGAACCCAGGTCGGCTGTGTGCAAGGCAAAACACCCTACCGCTGTGCTGTCACTCCAGCCCTATCACTGATTCTTAATGACGATTTCTCTTAACCACTGAGCACTGAAAATTACTAAAATGAATGTTTTTTTTTTTTTATTTCTCCCAAGGTTGCCACTGTGGATAAAGAGAAAAGCTGATTCATTCCATAGAATGAATGCCTTACTTAGGACATATTCTCTCTGAAACTCCAGCAAAGAAACACTGAAATGGTGAGAGAAATATATAAATTCTTAATTGGGGCTCCAGAACATGATGAGAGCAGAAAGAGCACTGGGAAGAGCTGACAGAGGAAGGGAAACACTTGTGCGGTATCCTAAGAACTCTGGACACAAAAGAATTGAAACCTATCTGTACTATGTCCCCAACGAAAGCTTTTCCTAACTGAGAGTTCAAAGGACAATTTTCCAAACTGAAGAGGTGGAAAGTCCACAACATGAGAATCTACAGTAACACCAGAAAGACTTTGGTCCAGAAGAGTAATCAAAATGTAGTTCTGGTGGTGACATCTGTTTCATTCAGCAACCCCTTTCCCTATACCTTGGTTTACCCTAATCCCCAAAACCAGGTTCCTCACGACAAAGAATAATATTGCTGTCAGGAGTTTCCGACCAACTCTGCAGGCATCTGTGAATGCATGAAAGCAGCGTCTCAGGTACAGACTAAAACTGGACACAAAGGGGCCGGGGAGACAGCACGGTGGGTAGGGTGGTGCTTGCCTTGCGTGAGGAGCACCTAGGTTCGATCCCCACTGAGAGTCACCTCGGAGTGTGGAGCCAGGAGTAAGCCCTGAGGACGGCTGGGTGTGGCCCCCCAAAATAAAGAAAATTGACCTAAGGAAAAAGCACCTTAAGATATATTTCACTGGGCCCAGAGCCATCTTGTTTCACACAGCGGTGAAGAAACCTGGCCAGCGGGCTCCACAACAGCCGGAGAATTCTCCGGGCGCCGTAGCAAGCCGATATGGCCGGGAGGTTCCAGATGGGCAGGCGCTGCCTCCCCGCCTTCTCCAGATGGAATCCCAGAGACCATGCGCTTCCACAAGCATGGCTCCGGTATGTGGGCGCCAGGACTATCCTCCCGAACCGCAGAGGGGCGCCGGACCCTTCCTGATATTCAAAGTGAGCAAGGGAAAGTAAATGATCTCGCATCTGTCCCTGGAAGGCAGGCTTGACCAGTGGTGGGAAAACTCGAGTAAAAATAATGCCCCAACGAAATGCTTCTGGACCGAGCATTAAACTACAGCACCATGCTGCCCTGGGAGGGGAAGGCTGTTTGTCCTTCAGCCTTCCCCCGCTGGTGGCAGCGACATGGTGGCCGCTATCTTTCAGAGCCTAATGGACATCCAGGTATGAGACTGCAGTGACGAGGCACGTGGGGCCTCATGGGGTGGAGGGGGGAACCGGCCCTGCCTCCCGCCCTGACAAGGCCCCGAGTTGCCACCTATGAACCCCCTCCTCCGGCTCCTGAACGACCATGATCCCAGAGGCACACAAACCAATCTCAGAACCCAGCGGCTTTTGGCAGTAAGCCCTCCAGACTTATTAGTAAAATATCAGAAATCCAATATTGTGTGGCCACAATAGTGGCTGCGTGACTTCATAGGGGCTTCATAATCAGCAGCAGAAAACAAATCATCTCGTGATGTCTTTTTGGCAGGCCCGAGTGTTGGGAACAATTCCAAATAATAATAGTGGGTCTTTTGTCGTAATATTGAATGTGATCAACATAGAGAGAGATTCAAGTGGAAATCTGCCACACAGGCAGGGGGAAGGGCGGGGTCCTTGGTGGTGGAAAATGTGCACTGGTGAAGGGACGGGTGTTTGATCATTGTATGACCGACCGAGACTTAAACTGAAAGGCTTTGTGACTGTTCTCACGGTGATTCAATTAAAAAAAAAAGATGTATTTCACTGGAGCTGGAGCAATAGCACAACAGGTAGGGCATTTGCCTTGCATGCAGTTGAGCTGGGTTCGATTCCCAGCATCCCATATGGTGCCCTGAGCACTGAATGATTCCTGTGTGCAAAGACAAGAGTAACCCCTGAGCATCGCCGGGTGTGACCCCCCAAAAAAGCAAAAATATATATATATATTTTACTGAGGAGCAGCTGGTAAGAGGAATAATAATAATTTTTCACATACAACTTCCTCAACACCCTCACAGACAGATCCCGTGGTAAAAGGGCTCTCCAAGAGGTCGGGGTGTAGCTCAGGGTTACAGTACTGGCCTTGCGTGTGTTAAGCCCTAATATCGCCTTCTGGCACCACATTAACTGCTTGAAAATACGGACCACACTGAAACAGTTCATGTACATGTGAACGGTACTGAGAACATGGCAAATTACCTGCCCCTGAAGTTTTCTACCTAAACTTAACCAACCCGTGTAAGGAGCAAGAATCACTCCTATCTTGGACGTTTTGAAAGAGAACTGAGACCTGGAGTTCTCGTACCCAACGAGGATGGGAGTGTGCCCCGGAACTCGTGCTCCAATAAAAGGCAAAGACCGGGGCTACAGCTCAGCGGTACAACGGGTGTTTTCAATGTGTGAAGTCCTGGGTTTGGTTCCTGGCACCACACACACACACACACATCACACACATACTCACACTCTCTTTCTGTAAAACACACACACACACACACACATCACACACATACTCACACTCTCTTTCTGTAAAACACACACACACACATCACACACATACTCACACTCTCTTTCTGTAAAACACACACACACACATCACACACATACTCACACTCTCTTTCTGTAAAACACACACACACACACACACACACACACACACACACCCCTACAAGAAATGAATCTGTTCTACTTCTTGAAGAGGAAACCACGATTCGCAGCTAGCCAAAAAAGGGCGGTCAGTGGCAAGGGACAACCGGCCCCAGGGTTCTCGGACCACTGATGACTTGGCATCCCAGATGCTACTGTAGCAAGTCCTGCGGTCTGCGCGGCCGGGGAGGGGGGCAGCGGCGGAGGCGGGGGAAAGACACCGACCGGCCCATCCTCGACCTTCGGGACGGCCCCGAGCTTCCAAGAATGCCGGTCTCGAAGCAAACCACGACGGACCCGCGGAACAGCGTCCAAGGAAAGCCCAGGTGAGGAGGAGAGCGGTTCCCCAAGGACGGGCCGGGCGACGGGGCAGCCCACGGGGCGGGTCCGGCCACTTGCAAACCCGGGGCGAATTCGGGGGCCTGGGGAAACGCGTGTCGGGGCTGAGGCTCGGGAGACCCCCGACCCACACGCCTCCGCCCCGGGGGTCCCGCAGCCCCACGAGCCCCCCGCAGCCCGCGGGTCCCGCAGCCCCACCGGCCCCGGGCCTCAGCCCCCGCGTCAGGCCGCGCCTTCGCTCGGGGGCCCGCGCAGCCCCCGCCCCGGAGGCGGACCCGGACCCCCACGCCCCCCACTCTCGGGCTGAGCCCGGCCCCGAGCCCCCGGGAAACGACAGCACCTCGGCCGCCCCCACCCCGAGCCCCTACCAGGATCAGCGACTCCATCTTGCCCCGCAGCCGGTGCCGACGTGGAGGCGCAGGAGCGACGCCGCCGCTGATTGGCCCGCGTCCCCGCGAGGCCCCGCCCCGGGGGAAGACGATTGGCTGGCCCGCCGCCGGCTCCCGCGCTCCTGGCCAATCTGCGCACAGGCTTGCCCCGGGGAAGACGGACGTCCAACCAGAAGGCGCGAAGATCTGATTGGCAGTTGGGCGTTAGGAAAGGTCCAGCCCTCCCGCGCGAACGGGGCGGGCGGGTCGGCGGGGCGGGGCTGTTTCCACGGGGAGCGGAGGAAGCGATTCTTGGTTTTCGATTGGCTGGGGGGGAGCACGTGACGGGAGAGGCCTCTTTTCGCAGCTTTAACCGGCACTTCCTTTAGGGGGCGCTGTGTCTCCTTACGCCCTGGCGCGGGCCGCCCTGCACGCTCCCTGTTGCAGCCCCCTCCGATCCCTGCACGCGCCTCGGTGGACGTGGGTGCCCTCCCCTCCCTCGGGCTCAGCCTGAGCGTCCTCCCAGAAGGCCACAGGGAGAAGCCGAACGGGGCCGGCGGCGTGACGGTGCAGATCAAGGCCGCCAGGAGTCGAGGGCCGCAGTGATGATCTCCCCGGAGTGGAGCCTCCAGCTCCGTTGGGTCCAGGGAAGGAGAAAACGTCCGCGAAGCCCTAAAAGCGAATTTTGTTCGGCAGACGCGGAGAGAGAGAGGAACTTGGCACAGCCGTGCAGAAGGGACAGAGGGGCAAGAGCCCAGGCTAGGAAGGGGTGCAAGGAGCGGGGTCTGCGGTTTTCCAGCAGGGACATGCCGTTGCAGAATGAGAAAAGGGAAGTTTGCCGAATGCAGGGATTTCACAAGAGGGAAGGGTTTTGGTGAAGTTGAGCTTTCCCCTAACCCTGCATGCCTTGGTGCCGGATCCCACCGCCTTTGGCTAGGCCAGGGACACCTTCTATTGCTGTATGTTATCCCCAAAGGAATTTTCTCTTTCTTTCTTTCTTTCTTTTTCTTTTTTTTTTTTTTTTGCTTTTTGGGTCACACCCGGCGATGCACAGGGGTTACTCCTGGCTCTGCGCTCAGGAATTACCCCTGGCGGTGCTCAGGGGACCATATGGGATGCTGGGAATCTAACCCGGGTCGACCGCGCACAAGGCAAACACCCTACCCCCCCAAAGGAATTTTCTTTTAGCCTCTGACAATTATGTCTTTTTTTCTCCTTTAGTTTCTGGGCCACGCCCTGTGGTACTCAGGACTCATTCCTGGTGGGGCTCTGGTGCTGGGCTTTGAACTATATATATCATGTGCAAGGCAAGAGCCTTACCTGCTGTACTATCTCTCTGGCCCCTGACTGTTATGTCCTTAGAAGTTTTTTTTTATCGAGAACAAACCTGGCATCTGAGCGATAGTACAGTGGGTAGAGCAATTGCTTTGCATGGGCCTGGGTTCAATCCCCAGCTCCCCATATGATCTCCCAAGCCTGCCAAGAGTGACCCCTGAGCACAGAGCAAGGAGTAAGCCTTGAGAACCGCCAAGTGTGGTCTAAACATGAGTCCCCCCTCCCCCCAAAAAAGAAAAGAAAATTAAATTTAAAAATTCCTGGGTCAGGGTCAGAGAGATAGTACGGCAGATAGGGCGATTGCCTTGCACATGGCCAACCAGGGTTTGATCCCCGGCACCCTATACAGTCCTCTGAGCTCCTGCAGGAGTGATTCCTGAGTGCAGAGGCAGGAGTAACCCCTGAGCATCACTTGGTGTGACCCAAAAAATATATAGATATATAAAAATAATAACTCTTGGGTCAGTGAGATGACTCAAAGGCCTGGAGCACATGGTTTGCCTAGAAGAGGCAGCAGGCTCGATCCCTGGCAACCTAAAAGCAATCCCTGAGCATTGAGCAAGGTGTGGTCCAAGCACAAAAACAACAACAATAACAATAAAAATGAACAAGTAATGGACTGGAGAGAGAGTGAGTGCACTAGGCGAAGCACTTGTCTTCAGGCAAGTGATCCTGATTCAATTCTCCAGCACTGCATACGGTTCCCTACACACTGCCAGGGATGACTCCTGAGCACAGAGCCAGGAATGGGCCCTGAGTACTACAGGGTATGACTCACCCTTCCAAAAAAAAAAAAAAAACCCTTGTAGATGGTTATAGCATTTTCTTTCTTCCTCTTTCCCTCCCTCTCACTCTTTCTCTCTCTTTCTCTTTTTTTCTCTCTTTCTTTCTTCCTTTCTTTCTTTCTGTCATTCTTTCTTTGTCCTGTTTGAACCGCATCTGCCAGTACTCGGGGCTTTTGGAGAGTGGCATCAAACCTCAGTTGGTCCCATATGAGGCAAGTGCTTTACCCACTATTATCTCTCTGGTTCCCATGTTCTCTCTTGAACACATATCTCTCCCCTCACATTTCTTCTTCAATTAAAACTACTTCCTTAAGTAAAACTATTTTACTTCAAAAAAAAGTAAAATAGAAATCATTACACCATTTTTAAAGATGAAAAAGGATAGAGCTTGGAACAATTAAACAATATACTTAAGGGCTTTATAATACAGCAGCTAAGACTGGTTGCCCTGCATGTGGCCTTTCTGGGTCCAATCTCTGGCACCACATATGTTCCCCCGAGCCCTCCAGCCCCCCCAGGGGGGACCTCTGAGCGCAGTAAGCCCTGAGCACCACTGGGTGTGGCCCCAAAACTGTGTGTGTGTGTGTGTGTGTGTGTGTGTTTGTGGTCGTACGACTAATAATTGGCAGTCATACATCTGTCATAAGAGATCTGGTTCTAAAAACAGATTCCTTTTTGGGGGGCCAAAAGTCAGTAGACTTTATTTAGGGAAACAGAAAGGAAGGGAGAGTAAGGCAGGGAAGTTCCCAGATTATAGCAGAGGTCCCAAAAGAGGATCCTGAAAACAAATTCTAACCCACAGTTTGCCCCCCTGACTGTGGCACAGTCTCTCTTACTTCCCAGTTTGAGCGGAAACAACCACGCCAGTGCCAGGTGTTTGTAGGGACCGTGAGGAGGAAAACAGTAGAATGTGAGGTTAATGGAGATAGTCGGATTCTGATTCCTTGGTTGTGGAGTAATTGGCAAATTGTAACAGTCTGATGTTGCTCCAGATCGCTAATTCTTAGTTCTCCTCTCTCCTGGGTAACTGTGCCATTGGGGAAGGATAACTGTGCCACTGGGGCAAGATAACCGACTGAGCGGAAGACGTTAATTGTTGTCATGATTTTGTCTGATTAAGTAGGAGACTTCTGGCAAATTCTGTACCCTCTCTGGACTACTGCTACTGCTTCTGGAAAATAGGAAGGCTCAGACCCAAACTTGTTAGGGCCTGAGCTATCACTAAAATTCTATAATTGGGGCTGGAGCAATAGCACAGCGAGAAGGGCTTTTGCCTTGCACATGGCCAACCTGGGTTCGATTCCCAGCATCCCATATGGTCCCCCAAGCACCGCCAGGAGTGATTCCTGAGTGCAGACCTAGGAGTAACCCCTGGGCATCACTGGGTGTGACCCAAAAAGAAAAAAAAAATCGGGGCTGGAGAGATAGCACAGCGGGTAGGGTGTGTGCCTTGCACGCAGCCGTCCCGGGTTCGATTCCCAGCATCCCATATGGTCCCCTGAGCACCGCCAGGAGTAACTCCTGAGTGCAGAGCCAGGAGTAACCTCTGTGCATCGCCAGGTGTGACCCAAAAAGCAAAAAAAACGGAAACGTTCAGAATAAGAGAAGGAACACATGGAGGGTGCGGGATCCCGGAGGAAAAGAAAAAAGAAAAAACAGGTTCCAAAAAGAGCCGAGAGCACCGGGAAGTTCCAGATGGAGTAGGCGCCGCATCCCGCCTCCCCCAGATGGAACCCTGGTGACCAGAAGCCTCTACAAACACAGCTCAAGTATGCGGGAACGAGGACTTTTTCTCAAAACCGCGCGGCCGCTTACGCGGCCGCGCGACATCTCTCTATATACAAAGTGATCAATGAGAAGTAAACCACCCAATCTTTCTCCCTGAAAATCAGAGTTAAGTTTGGAGCATGGCCACAGCCCCAGAAACACAAGGACTTAATGCAGAAACCAGCAGCTTAGAGCAGAAAAGTGAACGGACGATGCGTTAACCCAGGCCATCATTTCTGCCCAGAGGGGAAAAGGGTGTTGCCCCATTCGCCCTCTCTTCTCTGGAAAGAAGGATGGCGGCCGCATGGGAGCCTTGTGGACAGCAGGTATGAGCCGGAGGTTGGGGGCGACTAAAACCTCATGGGAAGGGGGGCGTTCCGGTCCGTCCTTCACACCCTACCGAGGTCACCAGTTGCCCCCCACGAGCGGCTCTCCAGCACGGCCACAGCCCCAGAAGCACAAGGGCTTAATGCAGAACCCAGCAGCTTGGAGCAGAAAAGTGAAAGGACTATGCGTTAATCCAGGCAATCATTTCTGCCCAGAGGGGAAAGGGTGTTGCTCCCTTCCGCCCTCCTCCCTCTGGAAAGAAAGATGGCGGCCACATGGGAGCCTTGTGGACAGCAGGTATGAGCCGGGGGTGTGGGGGCGACTAAAACCTCATGGGAAGAGGGGCGTTCTGGTCCGTCCTTCACGCCCTACCGAGGTCACCAGTTGCCCCCCACGAGCGGCTCCCCAGCACGGCCACAGTCCCAGAAGCACAAGGACTTAATGCAGAACCCAGCAGCTTGGAGCAGAAAAGTGAAAGGACTATGCGTTAATCCAGGCCATCAAGTCTGCCGGAGGGGAAAGGGTGTTGCCCCATTCGCCCTCTCTTCTCTGGAAAGAAGGATGGTGGCCGCATGGGAGCCTTGTGGACAGCAGGTATGAGCCGGGGGTGTGTGGGCGACTAAAACCTCATGGGAAGGGGGGCGTTCCAGTCCGTCCTTCACGCCCTACCGAGGTCACCAGTCACCCCTCACGAGCGGCTCTCCAGCACGGCCACGGCCCCAGAAGCACAAGGACTTAATGCAGAACCCAGCAGCTTGGAGCAGAAAAGTGAACGGACTATGCATTGATCCAGGCCATCAAGTCTGCCGGAGGGGAAAGGGTGTTGCCCCATTCGCCCTCTCCTCT